TTAATTAGTGAGTTTTATTTCACATTCTAAATGAGCCGTAGGGCGTATTAAAACCTGAACGCATTAGAAAGGAATATCCCAGTTTAGTGTGGTCGGTAAATTTTGCAAATCTTTATAAAAAACAATATTCTGTTGACGGTATATAAGTCAGATAATGCATATTTTAAGGTTTTCTTGTCGTAGAACACACATCGGGGTGTCAGGATTGTCCAAAGAAAGACCTCCCTACGGTCGGTCTTTCATTTGATCAATCTTGACACCCCTCGGTGTGTTCTACGACAAGAAAAACCGTAAAATATGCATTATCTATAACATAGATACCAGGATTATTAACAGTATGTAATAATCTCCTACACACATCTAGACATATGCGAGTCATTGTCAACTATTGATTAAAAAACTTTACTGAATAGCTTTAAGTTATAATATAATACCATCAATACAGTTTATGTCTTTATGATCTTTAAAATATTCATTGAAATAAGACATTAAAAACTGAATGGCAACTTTGAAATAAAGGTGTGTGGGAGGTAATATATAAACACATTATTCATTTAGCAGTTATATTTTCGTTTGGATAGAAAACATGTTTCCTTAAACCTTGCACCAAACAATCACTATATTCCAATGTTGCTGATATTTGCATGAAAATTTCAATAATGCTAGTTTGTTTGTAGTTTTCAATCATTTGAGAAACCGTGCATTTTTAAAAAAAAAATGGATTTAAAAAAGTCTATACTGCTGGATGTAATAAATGTTTTGGCTATCACCAGCAGTTTAAGTATGAATGATGTGTGCCCCGCTGATACTAAATCCTGCGAGGAACCAAATATTTCCGGTCGAGGTTTGCTAGAATTTGGTAAATGTTCCAAGGTTGGAGTACTTTTGAGATACCATAAAGTATCGTTCCTGGAATGTGTTAAAGAATGCCTAATCACGTCACAATGTACGTCTATTAACTATAGACAAAACTGGAACTTATGTGATGTCGTTAATTCAGTTTCCAATAGCAGTGATATTGACGACGACACAGCCTGTGTAACAAGTGATATTTCATCATGGGAAAAGGTTTGATATATTTAGTTTTCATTCTATTGTCCATGGGTTTTCCAATCCAACGATGGTGATTGCTATGCTCCCAAATTATTTGCATATTCTTGTGGCGTACTGTAAAAACTCGAAAAAGGTTACTTTTATTAAAAGTCGATGTAGGTGTCACGTCACTGAAATAAAACAGCAACCCCACGATATAGAAAGTTTAATTTAAAATTATACGTGTTACATGATGAAAAATAATTGTACTATACAAATAAAAGCTTGTAAATTGTGTGAGCTTTTCTACATTCACCTTGATCAAGAACGTTCAAACCCCAAAAATGGAAGCAAAGGATATATAAATACTTGAATTCTTAAGGAGCATTATGCCCAAACCTGCCTTGAAGAATTGCAAAATCCGTATAAGGTTAACCAAGTCTGAAGTAGTAGGACCATTAGATTGTTAATATTCTCTATTTTGTTTTACCGGAGAATATAAGAAAGGTATGTTAGAAATCTTGTCAGTACCAAAAAAAAACACTATTGAGCTGACCATTACATCAGGGACAAACAGTGCACCAGCAATTTGGTGCGTACTATACGCTTTTTTGGATTAACCTTTATCAGAAAGGCTCACACCCAAAGAACTTAAATCCAAGGATGTGTAAATACGTAAAAACTATATGACAAATGTACAACAAATAACTAGAGTTTGAAAACATTTGTTGATTCGAGATCGATGTATGTTTTGTAAAATTTTGAGAATATGGGTTCCTATTTAAAAATATATCCTAGCAGTGATACTATACTACAAAACATAGTTTAAAAGCCATTGTACTAAGACTTCATAAGACTGTAAATTATATGTATGTCACAATGTTTAATCAGTCTTTGACAGGTAAATATGCTGATCAATCTAATTCACAAAGTTTATTTAGTCTTTGGCAGGTAAATGTGCTTACCAATCTAAGTCACAATGTTTATTCAGTCTTTGGCAGGTAAATGTGATGACCAATTCAAGTCATAATGTTTATTTAGTCTTTGGCAAGACAATGTGCTGACCAATTTTAGTCATAATGTTTATTTAGTCTTTTGCAGGTAAATGTGCTGAACACCAATGTCCAGCAGGAAGTAAATGCCAATTTCATCACATGACCAGCAACGTTGTTTGTACCGATATGTGTAAGGTTATTTTTTTTTCTTTTAATACATTGGTTTGCGAAATGTTGTTCTAATGCAATATCACATGTATTGTCATAGGTAACAACACAATCGACTTTTCCAGAAGAAATCAAATGTTTATATTGTACTGAGTTTGGTATCAAAATACATATCCAAGTAATATCAGGGCTAATGATAGTCAGGGTCGATGATATAAGGGTTTCGATTTGGAAGGGGTCCTTGTTTTTGTATTCTGTAAATTTAAGACCATTTTCTCTATTCTTTATTTGTTTTACCCTATTTTCTGTTCTTTGTGTAGTTTAACACCCCCTTAGTATCTACATTGTGTTTTATGCCAATTACTCTATTTCTTTATTTCATTTTTTGTCCATTGTTCTCTGTTATATAATCCCAGCATGCACCAAGAGAGCATAAAAAAGTCATAACCGCCATAATGAATTTCAAATGCAGTTTTTGTAAACTTAAAGATACATAAAAATAATAATTTCTAAATTTGAAATAATATCTTTGTGTTTTTGTATATGTCTGTTGTTTAGAAATAGTTGTACAATAAAAATACAACTTCATAAATTATGTGTGTAGAGCTTTTCTACATTGACCTTCATAAAGAACGTTAAAACTCCATGAATGGAAACATCAGATGAATGAATGCTTCTTGAATGAATTCTTGAGGAGCTTTATGTCCAAACAGGCCTTTAAGAATAGCAAAATCCACATAGGTTTAACGAAGTCTGAAGAGTTAGACCATTATATTGTTAGTATCGTCTATTTTATCAACGGAGAGTTAAAGATAGGTATGTAAAAAATCTTGCCAGAACCAGATAACTATTAAGCTGACCACTTTCTCAATTTATCAATTGAGAATTTCAAAAAAGTATTTCGTAACCCGATATTTAAGACGAATGGTATACAATACAACTTAGCTGAACGAACCTACTGTAGCTAATCGATAGAATTTCCAGACAATATTATATATTGATATTTGATATGATTGAAAGTTTGAGAAAATTATTACATTATTGATGAAAGTATTAAAGTTGTAGTGTTATTCAAAAGAGGATTTTTATGAGCATGTAAATCAAACTGTTTTCTGAGAAAGATGGAGATTTCATGTGTTAAATTTCATCTTGTGTTGCTACACCATTTAAATCAAAGGATGTATAATAAGAACAATTATCTGGGCACTGAAATAAAACTAAACAGGAAAATTCTTAGATTCATTAAATGTCTACCAATTTCCTGGATTAATTAGTAAGATGATAAAACCTGCAAAGACACTTAAGTTCATATACAACATGACTATTTTCTAAATTAACTTATTTGTTCCAAAATGGCAATGTTACTCACAGTTCTGGTAATATCAATTCCAATCTACGGCCTTGACAGAAATGGATAGTTTTCTAACACCATTATCATTGTACAAAACATGTTTGAGCAAATTGTCTTTTTTCTCGGGAAGACTGTGACTTATACATTATATACAAGTGTATTAAATCCAATGAAAAATGTTTAAATCCTTGAGGAAATTAAAATGTGAACTGGACATCTGACATGTTAATGACCAGTAAAACTATGAACTCTATAATTTTATACGTTCAAATTACTTCTTTGTTTTGCAATAACAGGGACCAATAAAGTTTCCTTTTTATTCAATCTCCTTTGTTCAAATCATTTCTTATTTTTTACTGATTTGATTTTTCACGGACAATTTGCAACTTAGAGCTCTTAACTTGTCATGATACATTTATAATTAAGAAAATATCCGGAAGTTCTCTGGTTTTACAATGACGTTATAAGTATGTATAATGACGTCACATATAGGGAAAGTGAGAAGAACTGTGTCAGATTTTGGTTTTTTTTTAGATTGCAAAGACTTACCATCTATCCCCAACGCAGAAACAAAAGAACGATTTGGTTTGCAAAGACAATTCAATATGGGAAATAAATATGCGTGTCATGACAATTTTAAGATGCAGGGAAGACCATTTGCCGTTTGTCAGAATACTGGTGATTGGAAAATATTGTTTATGTGCATCTATGGTACATGTATTCATTAGTTTATAGGTCATGTATGCAATTTTTCTTCATGTTCAATGTCGGATGTAGCTAGGACCAGACAGTTGTTCAACAATGAAAAAAATAAGCATTTGCACTTATGCCTTTGCAGCCTTTTAAGTGATACGGATGGCAGTATAAATCAATTTAAGTATTAAGAATTGAACTTCTTTATACAGCCTATTTAAAATACAAATACAAATTCAAATACTTTGTAATCTGTCAGATCTTATATCTATTGTGTTTCCTTTGTTTTTTTTTTTGTTTTTTTTGTATTAATTATCAATTTGTTTTTTATACGTTAATATTGTCAAAGATCATCTAATTTCAGTCTTCCAGTTTTATTCTAAGCCTGAAAATTCTGTTGAAATTATTGCACGTTCAGACTTGTATTCAGTCTAGTTATGTGTAATATTTTATCAGTTTAGAATATACAGCATACGTGTCTTTACAATTTTTTTGCTAAGGGATATTTCACAAAAATGAAAAATACTGCTTTATACACAAACTTTGTTATATTATTTAGTGGTTGAAAGAGCAGAAGTCAAGACAACCGTAACATTTGAAGTTATTACGATTGGTAAATAGCTGTACACATAAAAGCATGCTAAAATTTAAACATGTTATAAATAGTTATAAAAAAAATCCAACAAGCCTCATATATTTTAATATTTCCTTTTTTATATTGACCTCAACTTTATTATTTTAACAGAGTGTGGCACTGATGGGTTTCAGTTTGACGGAGAGACTACCACTTGTATAAAGCTAATATCAACTAGTGGATCAACATGGAAAGAAGCAAGGACATTTTGTCAACAACAACAAGGTGGTGACTTAGTTAGCATAGTATCAAAGGAAAAATGGGATTTTGTATTTGATTACTTTAGTTGTAAGTTAATTATGATAAGAAAATAAGGGAGACATTAAAAATAGTAAATTGAGTAAGGACAGACAACACTGTGACTTAAATATATTAAAGCAAGCAATAGTCAACAAAAAAGAACATAGAAAAAATAGCAGCATTTAGACCACTTACAGCTTTGAATATACCCAATCTTTCCCGAGGATGTCTTTAACCAACTTATTTCCGCAAAGTTTTTATTTTGTGTGTAATCCATTTAGTACCGACTTCATGGTGGTTTAGTTTGGAGAAATTATTTTCTTATTGACTTATTCGTTGAACAAAGCATCAAATTCGCGTTACTTTTCTACCCGCAATAGTTTAATACTGATCATTAAACTTTTATGCAACACAATAAATGCCATAATTATGATGACCTTGAAATTATTTTATTAGACAGTTTATTAATACGCCGATATTGCACTAATTTTATGTTACCTTACCAAATTATTTGGTGTTCGTCGTCGCCGTTTCTCTTCTGAAACCACTTGGTCAAAAGGAACCAAAATTGGCCAAAATCATGTTTGGGCTATGAAGTAATAAATTATGTCTGATGATCCCTTCTTCCAACAAACATGCCACTAAGGCTAATAAAACTAAGGAATACTATGGTGGTATTGTCTTTTTTCTTTAAAAAAACTGTGATAGATAGAGAAAATCTGGCATACGCATACGGCAGCAGAAATGAATAAAGTGTCAAGATCGTCCTGCTATCTATTATTCGAGTTACAACTTTTAAATGACGATTCCTCCAACTTTTTTAAACGTTGAATATTATTTTGAAAATGATACTAGATAAAGAGAAAATTGTGGAATGATCTACAAGATACGCTGTCCAAATAATTCAGACGAATTCTTATGTGAGTTATTGCTCTTGAATGACGATGATAACCCATGTTTGTGTTTCTGTGGAAACTATAGTCGATGGAGAAAAAAGGGAAATAGCAATAACGATCTGGAAGGAAAATCTTCAAGTAAGTCAACATGGCAGTCGGAAAATTAACCACTTAATCGCGCCCAGTTGGAAAAAACTGACAGGAAAGTAGTTCCTACGCATAGATGTGCCTGTGTAAATAAGTAAAATGTCCGTGTAATTTTTTAATCAAATGAAAACTTAATGACTTTGGATCACTGTAGACACTCATCACATATACCGGGCTTATAATTGGATACCTATGTTTGTGTCTTGTGCAGAAGCTAAATTACATAAAGACAAACTGTTATTGAAAAAATTATCAGAACGGCAAACTCTAAAAAAAGTGAAACTGAGGAAATTGTCAGTTGAATGCTTAGATGGGTTTCTTTTCCATGAACGATGATTTTTACCTAGTTTTATGGATCAACAAATTAAAAATCTACAAATAAGTAAAAATGGCCGAAATCATCAGTTGACTGTTATTATGAGTTATTGGACATGCATTCTTATTTATCAATGTTATTCAAAAATGCATGGTGAGTGATATAGGCTCCTTGAAGCCTCTCATGTATGTAATTCACAAAGTTTTTTGTAGATGTTGGTAGGGCATGGATAGGGCTTAAAGATAAAAGATGGATGACCGGCGAAAGTTTCCACGACATTTTTGGGATTACGGTACAACTTAATGATTACGATGCAGATTATCCTACGGAAGTCGAAAATACATGCGGCATATTAACCCCATTGTCATCTACACCACTCCAAGATGAAAACTGTAATATTCGTAAAAGGGAAAATTTTCTTTGTGAAATTCGTATGTCACAAAATTAGACTTAGCCTAAGTATTTTTTTTTTATTTAATGAAAAATTGTTATTTTTGGCGACAATTAAAGTTTTATTGATTATTGGTGTATCGTTGTTTGATTGTATTAGTTGACTAGCATGACGGTCATAAAAATTTGGTTTGCAAGTTTGGTTGTACCTGTAAAAAACTTATTTCAGACGGAATAGCACATCCTAAATGTTACGGTGATGTTGTTTATGTAATAAGCCTTTTATAGCCGATTATACAGTGACCTATAGTTGTTAATTTCTGTGTCATTTGGTCTCTTGTGAAGAGTTGTCTCATGTGGCAATCATACCACATCTTCTTTTTTTATATATACGGTTTTCCTAATTGTTGAAGCCCGTACGGTTGCTTATAATTGCATGCATCCACTTTATTTGAACTGTAATGGGTATGTGTCTCATTGGCAATCATACCTCATCTCCTTATTTTTATATATTGCGTTTAATAAAAAAATGTTAAACAAAAGATTTTCAAAGACATTGCAATGATATTGAGGGAAATATATATTACGTTTATGAAATGACGACTGTGACATATTTCCTAAGCCCTATATGGCACAAGTGTTCGGAATTTTATGTTATTTTCTTTTATTAATGCTGTTCCATTTTGTTATAATTGCTTTGCAAATGTTTAATTGGAGCGCCATTGATAAGTCTAATGTAGGTGAAACGCGTACCAAATTATAAGCCTGGTATCTTTTATAAGTTTTTATTTCTGTCAACCATTTGCTGTCTTTGGAATACAAACATCTTCCCGTTATTGTGTAATTATTTAACTGTGTTAAATATTCATATCACAGACAATTTCAATTGTTATAACAAAAATTATATCAGCCAACAATTTGAGGTCGAATTAGGGGAAAATATTTGCTTTTGTTTTCGTAGTTTAGATACTTAAACAAAACTTTTTTTAATAAGATTTTTATTCATTTGTTTGTACTAAAATGTGATAATTCATTTGAAATGCAAATCTATCATATCGATTTTCTGTTTTTGTTCTCATCTTCAAATTTGCACTGGAGCATAATCTACGACAAATGTGTCAGCGTTTTCATTTACATTTGAAGATAATGCACAACTGTCTTCGGTGTATTTACTTTTTTCATTTCCAAGTTTTGATGGTTTTTAGTCGATGATATTTATCAACACGAGATAGTTAAATTTTCAAACTTAAAAATGAAAGGTTTATCAATCATTTAAAAAGCAGAAATTATTGCGAGGTTTTTTATTTATGCGAATAATGCGACTTGGTGAGTATCGCAATAATAAAAACTCGCATTCTATATATAATACATATATTTGTATACAGATTTGCCTGAAATCGTAATAATTAGTCTCGCATTATTGTCCATTTTTCATAAATCGCAATAATAAATCAACCTACTGTTTCTGAAATTACAGTATTTTAAAAGAGTGAATAAATATCGTTAACGCCGGGTTAATGTGTAAGCATGTATTTCTCTAATAATTTAGAGGAAAATTCCTCAAAGCATCTTTAACAAGAGGTGGTAGCGAATAAAGGACAAGTCGTGAAAATGGTTGACATTTTACCATCTGTGATGTTCAATGTTCTGAATAGATAAGACGGATATTACAAGATCAAGAGCAAAACACTAGTTGACTCGTAGTCACCTAGGGCGGGGGGGAGGGGACAGATCGTCTTGTGGACTGTTACATTGTGAACGAAAACGTTACACATCTGGTTCAGTGTGTCGGTCTAGTTTCAAGCAGGATTCATATTTGTATCACATTAAAATGATCTCGTCTTGAGATACATGATTTATAAGCAACTGCACACGAAACATAAATTCATAATTTTCGTCATCTTAACTTTGGTAGTTCAGAGTTTGACTCCTACTTAGATACCCGTACATTGTAAAAGACTTATGATTTCGTTGGGTTGCTGTCTTTTTGATGTATATCCAATATCTTCTTTCTCAAGTGCTTAGCCATGTTTTTGAATATAAAAATAAAATTATTGTCATTAAATACATTTGAATTTCTGTCTTCAAGATAAAAAGTTGAAAATTAGAATCCTGAAGTATTGTATCCTTCATAACTGGTTTTCTGATCATGGTTGTATATAAATGTTTATATGTTTGTGTAATTTGATGTTATAGCAGATCTTTGATTTTCAGAGTTACATTTATTGATTCTACACCTAAGGTGTGGAAGATTTATTGCTTGAATTTAAACAGGTATTTGCCAATTGTTGACGCCATTTGTTGCCCTTTAGAGGTTTGTTCTTTTTTTCCGTTCCTTTTTAGCTGGTATTTCAGATCGAAGTACATCCCATATCTCTGCTTTTTTTATATTTTTTATTATTATCATTCAACATTTAAAATGACAATTCAACACCATGCTGTAGTTCAAAATCTTTATATTTGAGGGATTAAACTACATGATTATGGATAAACATTCCTAAACGTTCCTAAAAAAAGTGACATATGTTCAGCCTTGGGCTGGTTTCTGTACTTTGGTCGGGTTGTTGTCTCTTTGACATATTCCCCGTTTCACTTCGCAATTCTACTATCAAATATCACATAATGTAGAACAAAATAAGGAAAATAATAATTGATACGATAAATTTCTTTTATGTTTACATGCCTCTGATTGTCGATATGTTCATGATGCCACAAAATCTTCGAAATTTGATATCACAGAAAAATGTATTATTAATTATATAACGTGTCGACGCTTCAAAACAGCAAAAGTTAAACCAGGCAATCAACTTGCCTATTGACGACAAATATTGAACAAAACTTATGCAACGATTTCCCAAAATATAGTTTATAGCACTTAATTTATATGGTGGGTGCTGTGTTTCATTCAAAGATAACTGAATGAGAGCCAACAGTCGTTTCTCATGAAATGGTTGACCGATACAACATGTCAGTGTGTCAACTCACTAGCGACATGTCTGTCGCAGTCTCAGATCTTAGAATAGCAAAATAGTTGTATAATCTGTAAGTGTACTGATTGTGTCCTATTCCCAGTGATAGTTTTACAAAGGGTGGATTCGAATGACAAGTTATGCGTGGATACACGCACTGGTCTCGCTTCTTCGTGAATTAATGCGATTTCCCACAGTTTTTGTTTATAACCTTTTCTGCATAATCGATATCTTTGATTTGAACTTCGGTGAACTTCTGTTGTCTTTACTTATTTTTGTTACAAAATAATAACATAAACGGTACCAATATTACTGCACCAGATGCGCATTTCGACAATTCATGTCTCTTCAGGAAGTACACCACTAATGTGTGGCCCCATTCCTTTCTTTGTTCCATTCCTCAAGTTCAACCAGGCACAGCTCTTTTGTCTTAAGTTCAAATAAAGTGACAGTCATTGCATGTCAGAGCAACACCTTATGATGGCTTGTACTGAAAAAAATCCAACATACTTTTAATTGCATATAAGAAAAAACTGGTTCCCGGAACCTCGGATGTACTAAATCAGGTAAATAAGATCTGACAAACAGACAAAATGTACCCTCCTTTTTAAATCTCATGATTTCTTTTTATTATTCAAAATTATAAGTCGAAAAGTTTTCTACAATAATCACCAGTCATTCAACTTTCATTTGATACCAAAATTACTACAATATTTTACATATTTTGAAAGTTAAACCCATGCGTAGGAACAATTTTGTGTTAAATATGTACTACTTTTTGGTATGTGCTTTCTGACCAGGCCCGAATTAGTTGTGTTACACCTTCAGTGATGCTCGAAGCCAAAATATGTGAAAATCCAAAACTTGAAAATATAAGAGTATAATTAGATAATACAAATCAGGGTAAAAAAGAAATCAAAATGAGGCAATCATGACTCGCAAAAGGAGCAATACCAGATCCAGATGCATTCTTAGGTTGAGCATCTGCTGCTATGAATGTTTCACCCGATATGGCAATACACACTCTGTCAAGATGTCAAAATCAAGAATAAGACACAATCAGTAAATTTGCAGTTCCGACAACTTTTCTGGTATATAAAAATCTTAGACCTCGGAACACATATCACTAGAAAGTTGGGATACATACATACATGTATTGTATCGATCAACCTGTTTTATGGTTACCGTTTAACTTATGAAGTGACAATTTCATTTGTTTATTCTCACGGAGAAGTCTTTGTGTCAATAGTACATCCATTTTAATGACGTCCGTATAATGTGAACATACGTAACTTATAATTTGAGATATGTAAATGCCACATGATAGGTCAGAGGGTATTATAATACTGAGAAATGAGAATTTGACGATTGGAAAGATAAAACATCACATGTGTCATAGCTTCTAATGTGAAGTCGTCCATCTGTGTCAGTATCAAGGGAAAAATCGAGATATAAATGAGACCTTTTACTTTCGAAAGTATCTTTAATCACAAGTTCCAGGGGGAACATGAGATGCTGGCAATCAATATAATGTAATTAAAGTGTGACCGGGTATTATCAATCTTCTTTGCACCAGTGAAGGGGGAAATCCTCAAAGGATCACTTTAAATAGTGTCGAGCAAAAAAACCCATTTCCCTTTAACTATTGAAATTTTTATACCAAAAGTGCGAGACCCTCATGGGTAGTCAAGGTAGTTAAACACACCCTAGCAGTAGTAGCACTCTATTATGAGTTGATTGCAAGGTTCCATTATATGCCCTTATCAACACAGAGCATGACTTTGTTCGAGTCCTGTGTGAAACGATATATAAATTATAAATTCCTTGAATTTAAAGTGATGTTTGTAAGCACTTGTTATAGCGATGATTTACAATGAACTAATCACCTGGTATCTATACATACTTGGATCCAAACTGAAAGTTAAATATGATTTGAAGGTTCTCCAACACGAAATGAATAGTATAAAAAGCAGTTGTTTGACTGCATAATCTAAGCTAAGCTGTTATTTGCCTAATGATTAATGATTCATTAGTTGATTTAAATCCGTTAAAAATTCACATTATCACAATGTAAATGATTGCAGATAATTTCATTGTTAGTACAGAATATTTACTTTACGCCCTTGTTTTGAGCGCTATTGTTTATACAAAACAGTATATTGTCCTGTA